AGATTAGGGCTTGGCGGCGGCTCCGTATCGTAAAACGCGATGAAACTTCCTCTCTGATTTTTTTCTCCGCGAAACAGAATATATGGAGTTGGAGTTGAGGTCGGTGGAGCGCCAGGGGGGCCACGAGATAGGGGGCACGCCCAGGGGGAGGGGGCGTGCCCCCCACCCTCGTGGACAGGGTGTGGGCCCCCTAGCCTTCATCTTTTGCCAGTATTTTTTATGTTTTCCAAAAGTTATCTCCGTGGATTTTCATGTCATCCCGAGAACTTTTTTTTTCTGCACAATAAACAACACCATGGCAGTTCTGCTGAAAACAACATCAGTCCGGGTTAGTTTCATTCAAATCATGCAAGTTAGAGTCCAAAACAAGGGCAAAAGTGTTTGGAAAAGTAGATACGTTGGAGACGTATCAATCGTCCCTTTGTGTCTTGGGGAGAAGAAGATGGGGACGGGGGTAGGTGGGGAGAGGGGAGAAAAAGGCGTGAAAGGGAAGGGGCTGGTTGGGGGAGGAAGCACGTGGGTGGCGGGCCAGGAGTTTTCTAGCATCGTGGGCTGCGGGTATCGGGCGGATCTGGGCTGAATCAGAGACTTTCCTTCTTTGAGAGGGTGGAACAGAAACTTGCCTTTCTGGGAAGGCTGCCAGGAAACGCTAGGGAGCAGCCCGCCGCTCCCTAGTCACAGGTAATCCTCACGAAGCCTGGGCCGTCCATCTTCACCTGTCTCTTCCGCTTCATCCTGGCCCTCAGTTAACTGAACCTCTTTTTTTACATCAATTAACTAAACCTCTTGGTGTTGACACCTGCCGTGTTCTTAGGATATGGGCTTCGAATGCGCTGGGAACAGGGTCTTGACATCACCCGGGGTACAAACGCTCCGGTGGATCATCTACTAGCCAAAGTTGTACATCACGGATCGCGTTAATGCGTCTCGCAATTCGTCTCCATGTCCTCATGCCCAAAATATTACTTCCTTGAAGGCTTTTGTCTCGCTCCCTTTCTTCCTCAATTATCACACATCATGGATCACCTTGATGCATCTCACTGTCTGTCTCATGCATGCATACCCAAAAGACCGCTTCCTTGAAGGGTTTTTTCGCATTCCCTTTCTTCCACAATTATTACACATCACGGATTGCCTTGGACACCATTTGGTTTCACCTTTTTAGCCGGATTCTATGGTGTGCAAGCCGAATCCTAACCGAAGAGGTACACAAGCCAGCCCGATTCCATTGTGGTGTGCAAGCCGAATCCTAACTGAAGAGGTAAATGAGTCAGCCCAATTCCATCACAGCGCAACAAAAAGGACGCGTCTAGCGGGCGGCTGGGCGCCCGCTAGCGCTCCTCAGCGGCCGATTTTCTTTTCAAAACAGTGCACGTGATCATCCCTGTGATTAAAAAGAACACTGCTAATTAATCACCCCTATATAGTCTCTTCTTACATGATGAATGCCCGCATGCCGCTGCATTAATGTTCCTCATATTCCTTCCTTGTGCATTAGTTTTTGGTTTTCAAAATTATAAAAGACATATCTTTTAAACCGCATGTCGAAATTTAGATCCGTTTTCACTATTGAAACCTCGCGACGTCCTCTTCTAAAGTAGATCCCGTATGATGATGTTTTGACGAACTAGTCTTCCTGCTAACTAAACATCAATATGTGTGCAACTAGACTACATTGTCGCGCCAACTGAGCATATGTGTGTGCAACTAGTCTTCCTGCCAACTAAATATCAATGTTTGTGCAACTAGACTACATTGCCGCGTCAATTGCACATATGTGTGTGCAACTAGTGCCATGCCAACTAAATACAACGTGTGTGCAACTGGACTACATTACAAGCCAACTGATCATATGTGTGTGCAACTAGTCTTTCTGCCAACTAAACATCAATGTGTGTGCAACTAGACTACATTACAAGTCAACTAAACATCAATGTGCGTGCAACTAGACTATATTACAAGCCAACAGAGTATATGTGTGTGTAACTAGTCTTCCTGCTAACTAAACAACAATTTGTGTGCAACTAGACTACATTACACATTAAAATTGTCATGGCCGGGACAGTAGACTAGTTGCACATCAAAATTATCATGGTTGCTAGATTACAACCTCATGGAAGTTGAATCATGCAGATCAAAAAATTGGTTTTGAAAAAAGTTGCACGATATAGTATTAAAGTTGCACAATACAGTACTAAAGTTGCACCATATAGCATGAAAGTTGACATTGAAAAAAATTTGTCGAAACATACCCATGTGGGATCTAGTTTCAAAGATCTCGTCACGAGAAATCCAAGGGTAAAGACAGATCTGAATTCCGACACGTGGTTTGAAAGATATGACTTTTTAAAAATTTAAAATTTGAAATAAATAAACGTGAATCTGTTTTCCCGTCACATGTGACAAGTCTGACAGCATTTATTGCCAGCAAGCACATGCACTAGCAGACAAAACATGCATATACACATGCGAGTGACACGGCCGCCCGTTCTCTCCAACAAACGCGCGCACACTTTTTAGATTTTATGCAACAAAAAATACATGCGCGAGACGAAACGTCCCACCTATGCCATTCGATGGGTCGACCAGGAATGATTCACAGGAACCCATCGACAGGAGACAAACCTACATCTTCTGGCCTTCCTTCTCTGGCATGAATAGAGTCTGTGATATAGGATGTGTTTTGTTAGAGGCCTGGAAACTATGCCTGGGAAAAAGTGTTGCCTGGATGGAGTGTGAGATGATGAATTTTTTTTTGCCTGACCAAGCACGCCTGGGCCACACATGTTTGGTTCCTTTCCTGAGTTGCTACTTTGTCATCTAGTACTTACAGATATTTTTACACGTGGGCCATACTGCTCACTGCTCATTATTAGTGCCAAGCTGTTGGCCAAGCTCAAGCTATAGGACGTCTGGGCCAGGCTAAAGCATGTTGCCTGGGCCAAACATTTTTCTTTCTTTTATTTTTTTCAACCGAACCAGGCTAATGACAATGCTACCGGCTGCTAGGCCAGGCAGACGTTTTCCTTTCCGGGACACCAGCCAAACAAGTCTCAAGCAGTTTCCAGGAGAGCTCCAAGCCAGGCATCTAGCGGCATGGATGCGATTCAAACTGGCCCATAATTACTAACCCTTGATGAGCTCGAGTTAATGAGAGAGTTCTTTGATCTGCTCATGGATGAACTACTATTTCATTTTGTGATATGTGTACAAGTGTATATAAGATTCTATGCCCATGCTACTAATCTAGTTGCTTGGCTTTCGCTTGTGAAAAATGCAAGTGTTCTAATGTATTGATCAATGGCAAAAAAAATTGGGGATAGATTGGTAGTGAATTCTATGATGAGTTGTTTGTATTTCAATTTGTGTGCTACTCTTTTGCCGTGCTAAAACACCATGTTGACCATAAGAGTTAGATAATTATTTAATTATGTTTTTATTAGTGTTGTAAATCAATTGTAATGATCTTAGGGGTATTTTAGATATTTATATTCACACCCACAACTCATACAGCTAGTTTGCCAAACAGCTTACTGCTTTCTCATAACACATCTCCCACAGTTGGCTTCCCATAGCACATCTCCTACAACTGCTTTTAGAAAATCCACGGCTCGACCAAACACCATGATGCGTCTCACAATTCCACTTCATGCCATCATGCCCAAAAGACTTCTTCCTCGAAGGGTTTTCTTCACTGTCCCTTTCTTCCTCAATTATCACACATCACGGATCGCCTTGATGTGTCTCACAATTTGTCTTCATGCCATCATACCCAAAAGACCGCTTCCTTGAAGGGTTTTTTCACGTCCCTTCCTTCCTCAATTGTCACACATCACAGGTCGCCTTGATGCGCCCCACAATTCGTCACCGCATGCCCAAAAGACCGCTTCCTTGAAGGTTTTCTTTTTCACATTCCCTTTCTTCCTCAATTATCACACATCACGAATCGCCTTTATGCGTCTCGCAATTCGTCTCCATGCCCTCATGCCCAAAGACCGTTTCCTAGA